ATTTGTTCCTGACAAGTTGCTCTAACCTACATACATTCGAATTTTTTCGTTCTTCCCCGACATTTCGACCGCCATTTTGAAAGCTCGAGGGCTATTAAGCCTCGCTTGCATGTAACTTCCGGTTTTTTTCTGGAATCGGTGTATTGTTTTTCCGGGGGGATCAACATTAGTGAGATTCGTCTTTCATTTTGTGTTACTTTTGAAAACTGTTTTCTCGGCGATTTACTGGTGAAAATCGCAGTTACCAACTGATCGAGTCATCCTTTACTGTTAAGCGTGACATTTTAAAAGAGAGGTAAGTTTTTCATTTGTAGCAACGTAACTGGAGAACGACTGTTATTTAGTAAGCTTAAATATAAGCTAAATTGGACTAAAAGATAACGAGATGCACGATTTTTCGGTCACATAAAAGTGTACTTCGTATACTTAGATTCTGATCCACTACTTTTTTCTCGAGTGAAGTTAAGCGAACGTTTTCACAGTCTTTCGGGTTATATAATTTAACCATTTTTAAACATGAATACCGTAAGCAGTCAAATGGCGGAATTAATCCACGGAAACCAACGTTTTAAACAGAATCAATCTACAAAAGTTGAAGTGAACAAAACAAAAAAAATAGTGAAATAAAAGCAAAAGCCAGAATTTTTCTTTTCATCCTTACAATTTTGGCAATATTCAAGTCATTAGAACCTTTATGAAGCATTTGATTGTTCGAATTTCCTTGAGAGACAAGTACGTGTCTGAATCGAATATCATGTGACGTCATCAAACCTACTGGCAATGTTTGTTCATAGGTGGAATAACATATCACTATCCACTAGGTAGCATAGTATCCTCTGTCTACTCTTATCCACAGTTAGTAGCAATATTTTTAATCCTAGTTCGAGTTTTAAACCTTAATTTTCATCTCACGTTTTTGTAGCTTCTATTACTTCTGTATTTTAGAAATTTATTGTATATTTTAGACTTTTTTTATTGTTCAGTTCCAGGAAATATCCATACTCCCCCCACAGAAGGGATTGGAATTTCCTGGGGGGTGGGTGGTTCTGTAAGACCTAAAAATTTAAAGAAATGTATGAAGCTCAATCAGAATTTCCAGACCTCCCTTCCGTGGTGGAGGTATTGATATTTTCTGGAACTACACATTATTATTATTATTATTATTATTATTATTATTATTATTATTATTATTATTATTATT